AGGAAGAAAAATTGGATAGGAGAAGCGCACACCAAGAAAGAACACAAAGTACCCAAAATAGGGCAGCTCAGAGGAGAACAGCAGAGTAACCACAGTGCTTGCCTTTCCAGACATTTCGAACAAATTTCATAATCCTCCGGAATTCCTCGAGCTGATGAAAAGGTTCATCGATAAGTCGTTAAGTAATCGATAATTTGACATTTTCAATAGAAAATAACTATTTACTTTGACAGCCATAACGCCAACAAGTGCCACTTTCATTTATGTAATGTGGAGATTAATAGGATTTGCAACGATTTCAATAACTGAAAACGATTTAAAAGCCGACGGATCGTTGCAGCAACATCGGCTTCTGGATTGAACATGACTCGTCTATTCTTTCTGATCGCTCTTGTCAGTACTGTACTGGTAAGTTAGTATTTTCTAATAAAGGACTACGATCCCTTCGATAAGTGCTGTTGAGACGCTTTTTATCGGTTAGGCATGTGCTCCACAGCCTACTCCTGCACCAGGAGGAGGATCTGGAGCCGGCGGAGGAGGAGCAGCTACGACTACAGCGTCTACCTCAGGTAGACGACGAAGAGACGCGAACTCAGCATGTGCTAGACAGACAGAAGGATTGAAGGTATAAGTAAAAGTTGCCTTGAGTTCTCATGAGTAGTTAGAGCAGCTAAAATAGGAAACTGCTGCTGAAGCGAACTGCTCATCACCCACAACCAGACTAGGATAAAGATGGATAGAATGCTGTCATTTATGACATTGTTCTTAAATTCCTGCTAAAAATTCACTCGCTTGAGTGAACAGCAGAACCGACAAACAGCTCGCTCACCCATCCACTAAGGTTATGTATAAATCAGTGCGAGAAGTAGCGTCATAAGTTCTTTTTTACAGTTCTTTCGAGACTTTGGAGGAAATATTAATGGATATGCGCAAATAGAAATGAGATTTTTGAAAGTTCCACCATAAAAAATCAAAAATCTCTTACGATGTTCTCACCATGCCAGTCCTTTTTAGCGTCTCGAAAGAATGGGTTGCAATGAAACCACGTTACTCGGAGCCATACATAGCATCAGTGCCATTCTGACGGCGAAGAAGAATGCAACGACTTGTGATCAAGTGGGACTTTATAGAGATTTCATGTCAAATACCACCCAAAGCGTAAGTGCGGTTGTGTTCTCAACACGGATTCCTCTAATCAAAATTGGAAAAAGAAAATTGAAAGAAAATGCCGGTAGTGGCAGTACGCTGGGCAAGACGCACCTGGCCTCATCGAGTAATTCCAGTCCTACTTCATTTCCATACCTTCAAAACTTTTTGATTTTATTTTATTGTTTATCCAAGCCTTTTTCTAAACACCATATAAGGTCAGCAAAAACTGAATTACTTTATAAACGAGAGAAAATTGGTCGTTTGGACGTTGAAATACGCGAGTTCCAAAGAGAAAATAAGTGTGCAAAAAAAATTTCAACTTATTGTGCGGAGAGAAATTTATTTAGACGATCAAATTCCTACTGGAAGCCGTCCAGAACAGCTCAATTCCAACAATGAGCAATACCAGAGAACCAACCACCGTCCACTGGAGTTGATGAAGATACTCTTTTGTAGGAATCGCTATGAAACAATAAATCTTCCTGCAAATCTTCTTCGTATTTGTGTTAATTATTCGATAACGAAAACCCATAGAATTGATTGAACTCAAACCAAAAAATTGAAGATGTTGACTGACTCCGACTGAAGATAACTCGAGGTGCATACTAGAATTTGTCACGACAATTCGATAAAGACGCAGTTTGCTCCTGATCCTTTTCAATTCAGTGTGTCGCATTCAATCTCCTTAACGAACAGCTAAGTGATCAAGTAGAGCTCAACCATCGAATTGTGTAAATTTCTTCTATATCGTTTGTAGTATAGTTTATTTCACTTTAATGCATCCAGTGAGGTATCCTATTGTGCGAATCCCGGAACTTCTTGCACTCGACTCAATTCTTGCACTCATCATCCATGAATGTCTTCGAATTTTTGCATGATGGTTCAATTGCTTCTTGAAAATCTTGTCTTCTTTATGAATGTAACAAAGTGCTGGCCAAGGTGAATCTCCTCGAATATTGGAAATGGCTGAGCTAAGGCGTTTCCACGTACACTGCGAGAGGGCATGAGGGCGGGCAATCGGCACTTTGCTTCCTGATGAGCTGCATCGCTAAGGACTCGGCTAACCCGCTAACCCTCCTTTCCTTGCTTGGATGCCGCCATAATTAGAAGTCGTTCACTGTTTTTAAAATAATTTTACCTGTCGATGATCGAATTAAGCAGTCTTAACTTTTGTCAAAGGGTCGTAAATGTGACAGCGACTGTTTTCACATTGAAAATGACATCGAGCCAGTCGCTGTTGCAAAGGAAAATCTGGGACCTCTTGCGGTCTCCGAAGAGGTTGAAAGACGCGAATTAGAAGATATGTTCGACAGCGGTGATGATCGCTATGATGAGAATAGGGGAAATAAGTCCAACAAGACAGTGTAGAGATGAAGCTTCTCCTTGATTGCAAAGAACCGACACTTCAACATTTTTTCTTCATGGCCAATAATTGTGAGCCGACTCCGAATGCTTACACACTGCAGAAAAAAGTGTTTAATCATTAAAAATGGCAAAATGCAAAAATATACTGCTTTCGCCCCTACCATGAGCATATCGCCATAGTTGGGAGAATTCTGTAGTTTTAATCCTGTCCAGGCACGACATAAAGATTTCTGTTCTGCCCGCACCAACAAAAAGTTTCTAGTGGCACGTGTGGCACAACATCTGTGTTGGATGAGCTCCAGACTAAGTGGAAAAACAAGAGAACTGTTTAGCGAAAAAGCACTATAGGCCAAACAAACCACTGAAAAGAAGATGCAATAAGGTCCATGCACTTCATCCATCTTGTTTTCTGCATATCCATTCATATCAACGGCTTTCATTTCAAGAAGAGGAGAGCAGTGATACTGACTAAAGTTGCAGAGGTTGAAAAGGCTTCAGTAACGCCTGATAAGGTGTTGCCAATTATAAGATGAGAATAATGGCCTTAGTGTGTTTGTAACGAAAAATAATCTCGTCTTCCATAAGGGTAATGTAGAAGGTCATCCGTAAGTTCTTCTTTAACAACCACATTAGACTGCTGCCAGATGGTGTTAGCTAGGAGTGGTGTACCATAAAAACGATTCGTTCTTTCAATGTGCTGACACGGTCTGTTACAGTAAAATATTGAACAATATCTGATTCACACCGGCTCGTTGGCAATGCTTTCTGCATGTTGTCTGTCAGGAAGCAAGGTTACATATTGGTAGGAAACAATGAAGTCACCAAATCTGCTTAACGTTTACACGATTTATCATAAATGATAATGAAAAAGCACGAACAGTCCGACCTCTTGGAGAACAATTAGAGCTCGAAAAGGACTCAGCACGAATGCACTAGGGCAGTACAGCGTTCCCACTTGGATTGCATAGAGTGTTTTTCCTGGGCAACTCCAGTTCCAATTTACTTGACCCATAGCAATGAGAAGCTTGGTGAGCCAGGCACCGGGATCGAGCCATCATCATGTTCATGAATAGCATCATCACAGGTATTGTGTTGTCCGCCTCTTAGTACGAGGACAATAACGAGTCCAAATAAAGTATTCTAAGAAAAAAGCTACAATATATGAGTTTCACCGACTTTAGAGTGGTAATTCACTACTATCTCGATGAGAAAACACAAGGTTGCTATTTTATTCTTCATTTACAAATAAGCCGACGTATCGTCGAATTTCGCCTTCCGCAGAGACTGGAAAGGTCTAGTTGATTGCAATTTGCTAAGCAAAACAGCTCCATAACCAACAGCAAAAATGATAAACCAAAATTTCAACCACATTGAACACAGTCTTTGCACACTCACCGCTTCCTATGAGCCTTCCATCAAGTGTGTCACGTGGAGACTAACTGCACGGGATTCACATAGAAGTGTAATATGCCCCTTACATTAAAATACCGTTTTAAATATTGTGAAAGATCATGCGTGATCACGAGACATTCCTACCTGCGGTTCATTTTCGGATTCTTAGAATGTGTTCAGAATGCTTCGAGAGCATTGCGCGGTGATGTTTCTCACTCCTGTGCGAGCGTGTTAACTTCCACGTCACAATCTTACCCGTTATGTCCCTGTGTCATACGCGGTCTGGTAGAGTATTAGGTTCAACGTGGACTTACCGCTTAAAAGTTTCTTTATACGGAAACAGAGTGGTCTACCTGTTTCGTCAACGTATTCGACCTCGCAGGCTCTACAAGACATCAAAAAAGCTTCACCCGAACTAGAACTATAATAATGCCGAGATATTTGCAAAACTTCGGGCAGCAGATGTCTGTCCCTGGAAAGGTAATAGCGAATTCAATTCCTACAGCACGCACCTGCCAGTCGGAGTTTCGCAAATATCTCAGCACCTAAATTTCACCCCACTCTCCCAAATGAAAAAGAATAGGCAGTAAGTAAAAAGTGACAACGTTGTATCCGAACTCATGCAACCACTGTCTCTACCATTACGGCATGTCATACAAATATGCGGCATACATACATAGACTGTCGTACAGGCGGTTGCGAACTAGCTGGCGTCTCACAGTGCTCGGCCGTGTTTCAGTTGCTGTTACGGAATTCTCTAAACCGGCCCTTATTAAATAACGTTTTGTAGCTGCACTTATTCCGTTGGAAATGAAGAGCAAGATAAAATAAACCCTATTGTGGTTAGAGTTATCGATAGGGTCCTGAGTTCTTTCTATGCCTATCCCGAGGAGCTATAGTTTCGTAGCCATTCGAAATGACTATTTATCGCGCCGTTTTCAAGGATTCCCCTTCTGCTCTCTTCCTGTGCACATGCTAGTGGCTGCTCTAAAAACGCTTCTTAGAAGCACTGTTTATGTGTGAGGGAAGAGGTGAGAGGTAATAAACCAACGTGCTTCTACTACTTGGCCTTCGGTACCACTTCGCAATGTGATAAAATGGTATTTGACTAGTCAGTGCTGAACGAATAATGATAACTTTAGCCAACGCAGCGTCTACTTAGCTACTTACATGGCCCCAGTATAATTTCTTTCTCGAGTAATTGCCGTTTATGGTGGTGGTCTGCTTCGAACACAGTGACGCCCGCGAGGCTCATTATATAATCAGGGACTCGTTGCTATTTGCGAGTGCAGTTGGTTGAAGACAGCTACGAACACGTCCGCCCATCGCTTCTGTGCTTTTTCAAAACTCCATTGGGGCCCATTTGCTCCGCCATCTAAGTGGTGCATGTCGGTTCTCATGGGTTCCTTCTTTGTAAAATGAACACAGAGAATTTGATTTGATCGGCAGCTTCAATAAGAGCATGAAGGTAGGCGGCCAAAGAGATTCTTTTGGCGTTTTAGACGCACAGCAAGAAGCACTCTCCATGGCGTGTCGTAAATGTGCTCGTTTTGTATGTTTCCAATGACGTCCTGTGCAACCTGAAATTTGATCGCATCACACCGGTTGTCTCTCCTGCCGAATTCGTGGACGGCACCGCTCGGTCTGCGAGGTACTGAGGCCGAAGGTTTGCTAGTTTAGTCGCTGTGGTCAGTGGAGTCTCAACATGAGCATATCCGAAACCTTCCTCAGGCCGTCACAATCCCAGGCAGTCGCGCTTTTGGAACTCAGAGTGATATTTACCACCATGCGACTAGTTGCATACCACGACAACGGTGAATTTCTGGTACTGGCATTGGTTTACTCTTAGCTGGGCTTCTGGATGGAAAAGCAGGACTTGTTCTCACCTCAGGTGATTCTTCTGGGAGAATGAATCCCACGCCATGCACCAGAGCAAAACACCCAAGAACAGCTCTCAACCACGATGAGGTGGTAAACCATAAGGAGGAGATGATAAAAGGAATGATGCTAGGATAGCGATTATTTTTGCTATAATAAAATGAAGCTAGGTTTTAAAAAGAGAATCGTAATGCCTGAATATTATCTTCTTGTGTAGAAGTTATTGGGGACAGGGTTGAATTTTTTTATATGTGGATTCAAATATTGGCCAACTTCTGCTTTTATTTATTTCCTAATGGGAGATGAGAGAAATTTTGTGGAATCGTATTTGGAATCGAATCGTACTTCATCTTCATCAGAGCCGATAATTGGAGTCGATGGTCAACTCTACTCGATTGGTGCTTTTGTCGTCGTATCGAGTCAGATCTTATTTGTCGGAGTAGCACTCTAATGAGCCAATTTTACCAGACAGTGCTTCTTTATTCTGGATGGTTGTTGTCGTGAACGACTATCCGTTGATAACAAGTGGGTTTCAACGATGATTCATCCTGAAACAATAGGTATACCGTGCGTTAATAGAAAATTGTTCCACCATTCCGTGCCTTTTGACCATTCGTACATGCCTTCGGATAAAGTTCTGCAGTCTATTCATCGGAACCCTGTTCCCAATGACTTCTACACAAGAAAATGATATTCGGGCATTACGATTCTCTATAATCGCTATCCTAGCATCATTCCTCTTATCATCTTCTGCTTACGGTTTATCACTTCATAGTGGTTGAGCGCTGTTCTTGGTTGTTCTGCTCCGGTGCATGGCGAGGGGTTCATTCTCCTAAGTACACAAAGGGGGCACTTGTGAGAAACATGTTTTGAACAGCCACCTCTGTGTACGCAAAGAGAGAACCAAATGACGAATGGCGCAACTTGGGTCGGCAAATAACCATTTCCAGTGGGTAAGAAATAGTAACACCACGAGGTAAATCTAGAAAGAGAGAGACGCCTTAAAACTTCATCTAAAAAGTGCTGGATGAAAGTTCGAAAACTATCAAGGATCTGCGCCAACTTCTATACCTGATAGCTTGTCAGAGCGACTATAAAGCTCGGCACAAAGGGATTCTCTTCAAAGCAAGTCTGTCGTTTTAGAGCGTCTTTCTCCTTCTAAACAACTCGTGGGGTTAACTATTTCTTACCCACTGGAGATGGTTATTGACCGAGCCAAGTTGCGCAATTCCTCATTTGGTTCCCTTTTCGTACACACAGAGGTGGCTGTTCGAAATATGTTTCTCACAAGTGCTCTCTTTATGTGCAAAAGATTGGAAGGAAGGATATGGAAGAGGATGTTTGTGTTGCTTGGTTTTCCTTACCACTCTGTGATGTAACTCCGATACCTGATAAGATTATTTGAAAGTTAATAAACGGAAGCCAGTTTTATTTCGGTTTCTTCTGGGTGAATTTAACATACTCAGGCTGCTCATTCAATAATTCAAAGCATTTGTCTATCTCCTCCCGAGTAGAGAAGATGACAACACAATCATCTGTATATCTACAATAGAGTATTGACCGGAGATCGATAGCGGAGGCTTCTATTTCAGAGACGAACGCAATGGCAAGACTTAATGCCAGCCGCTATCCCATTGCCAACTCTCTAATTTGCGAGTAATATTTGTCAGACCGTCTGAAAATCGAGCAGTTTAGGCAGTCTTTTAGGAAAGTCATAAGCTGGTGAGTAGGCA